CCCTCTCCCTGGCCCCCCCAGGCAGGGAGCGGGGGCTCGCCGGGCTTCCGCGGCCTCGTGTTCCCCGGCCCCTCGTTTACGTTGCGGGGACGTGCCGGGAGCCGCGGGCACAGAAGGTAGCCAGAGATCCCAGGGGTTTGGCACGGAGCTAGCGATCCCTCCTGCAGGTGCGTGGCTGGAATAAAGTCAGGTGGTCCTTGAGCCTTGGGAAAACCCTTTGCCTGTTTTTAATGGGTTGCTTCTTTCTCCATAGTTCAGAGAAACAGTTTTTCTCCCCCATGTCACGTTTCTCCAAGCAACATTGCCCTTCACACCCGGGGCTGCTTCATAGCCTGCAGGGGGGCCTCTGCCCCATCGACCCCCAAACCCCGACACTCATGTTTGCCCCTTGTCCTCTGCCTGGTCCTGCTGTGAGTGCTGGGTGAAGCTCCCATTGCCCCTTCTCATCCCGTGCCGTCCTGCGCTGTCAGGACAAAGGCGGCGCGTGCAGGTTGGCAGGAATGGCTCTTCCAAAAGCACGAGGCCTCTCGTTTCGCACGCGGAGCACGAGCAGAGCTTGGTGCAGTTTTGGCTGTGCCGGCACCCCGCCGGGTGCGGCGTCTCAAGTCTCCCTGGGTGCCCGCGCGTGGGGTGGCTGGAGGAGCTGCTGCTCCCCTGCCGCATGGAAACATCCGACACTGCGTGCGTGTTGCAAAAGCCGGTTGTGCTCCTCCGTGCCACGTTACCTGCCGGACCACACCTTTGATTTCTGCCGCCCAGAAGATCTCATCAAAAGGAGGAGGCCCCCTGTTGGGCTGGTGGTGCTGGGGACAGACCCTCCAAAGGTCCCACATTGCAGTGCCTGCCAGAGCCCGCGAGCGGCTCCAGTCACTGCTGTCCCCTCTGCAGTGGCCCCAGGGCTGAGGTGGCCCTTGTTCCCCAAAGCGCTGGTTCCCCCATGGAGCCACGTCTCCTTCACGGCCCCCACGTGGGGCCCTCCGAGTAGGGTTTGGTGGCTTCTCTTTCAAGCGTGGACGTTGGTGGTGGGACGAGCACCTGTGCATTGGCCTCACAGGCTGCTCCTTGCCCTCTGTGCTCCTAGCTGCCCCCTTCCAGCCGCTCCTGTCCCCAAACCATGGCCCTGCTGTTCCCATGCAGCACCAGTGTCACAGAGACTAAGTGACTTGCCCAAGGCTGTGTGGGTTGTCTGTGGCAGAGAACAAAGGGACTTCTGTGTGGGTGGGAGAGGCCGCCCTGGAGAGCCATGGCCTGTCTTTTCCCGCGGTGGCTCCTTGGATGTTCATGTCCCCTTGTGCTGGCCTGGCCTGTTGCCAGTGCTACAGGAGCAGAGCAGAGGGACACCATCATGGAGGGCTTGGGTGGAGGAGCCCAGCTCACTCCTCACTGTTTCCCCACTGGTGGGGCTGGTGCCCCATTGCGGGGTGCCAGGAGCTGTGTGTGACATTCCCTCCCCAATGGCATCCCCAGCCAGGCCAGTCATGGCCCCCGCTGGAGGTACCCCAGCCTATCGCCCACCCCCCCGCCAGGCCTCCCACGCTGCCCACACGCTGCAGACCCAGCTTGCTCCCACCAGACGTGGGGTGAGGGGCTCTGTGTGTGCCCAGAGGCGCAGGCTGGGAAAGCTGAGCCTTTCCCAGTCACCCTCCTAAATCGTCGAAGCATGAATGAGATTAAATTCACTCTGAGGGGATTCCCTGGCTGCAGAGGGTTTGCTCCTGGTTGCGGCATCACTGAAATTGAAACGAACTCCCTGCCTGGCCCCAGGAAAGCTGCACCCAGGAGGTCTTTTGAGTATCATGGCAAGGACAAGGCTGGCAGTCCCCAGGGAGATGCTGCCTGCCAGAGCAGAAGGAGAGGCATGGTGGGGTGATGGGGACTCGGGGTTTCCTCCTTGCTTCCTTCTCCCTTACCCCAAACCTGGGAAACATCCCCTATGTGGAGGGACAAGCTTCTCATCTTGTCTTTTCCACTCGGTGCTCCGTCCCATCGTGGATGTGCAGGGCACTGCAGTCCCTGCTGGCTCTTCGCAGCCCCCTCCCCCCAATTCATCCAGGAGCCCTGGATGATGCCCTGAGCCGTTTGGTGCCCAGCAGGGACCAGCATGTTCCCACGGCTGCACCAGCAGCTCTGTGTGCCCGGGCAGCGCCCGTACACAGGCAGGGCACGCTCAGCCGGCGTCCTCTCTGCCGCAAAGGCAGCAGCTGTGACACAAGCAGGGATTCAAGACATTTTTCAGAGCAAAAGGGACTTTTTCATCCTGCTGAGTGTTGTTTGCTGTCTGGCGATTGCCCAGCAAAACCCTGCCCCATTGCATTTGCCACCTCGGAGCTGGGCGTTCAGCGAGCGGCTGGATTCCACGGAGGGCCTCATCAGCCGGAGGAAGCAAGAAATGAAAGCAGAGCCTTTCCTGCCGTCCGAGCGGGTGGACGCACCGAGGCCCTCTGGTTTGCAGGTTTGCTCCTCTTTGCCCTCACTTTGCCACGCTTCTGTAGAGGCATTTCCTGTGCCCAGGCCACGTGTTTCGCTTCGCTTCTGTTTTGCTCAGGTGCTTTAGCTGAAGCATAGCTTCAAATAAGGCTGCTGGATTTTTTAATATCTTAATTTCCTCTTCTTCAGTCCTGCTGCATTTCAGAGACCTGTTTGCAGGTCAGTGCTGTGTTCAGAACCCCTCCAAACGGAGCAGTAGCTGTGGGCCCATCACTGAAGACTGATGAATGGACTGAAATGGAGCAAAATTCAGGTTTTTTGGCCCCTCTTAATCTCCAGGGAAGTCAGTTTGGAATAACTAGAGCTAAAGGAAGGGATCAGTAAAATGACCTAAAGCAGCATCTGAGCCAGGAAGTCTCTCGAGAGCGGGGATCAACAGGGAAGATAATAGCCTTGCTGGAAGGGGCACGGTGTTAGGGCTGGGTAAACACTGCAATAAGAGCCCCGTGTTGCTCAATAACTAACACTTGTTTCCTCCCCGCTGCCCACAAAGACCCAGACTCCTTCCTGAAGTCTGCGCGGCTCCAGCGCCTACCCTCGTCCTCATCAGAGATGGGAAGCCAGGACGTGTCCCCTCTCCAGGAGACCAGCAAGGACCCTTTTTCTGGAGACTGCAGCTGCCGGCAGGATGGGCTGACCGTCATCATCACCGCCTGTCTGACCTTCGCCACAGGGGTCACAGTGGCCCTGATCATGCAGATCTATTTTGGGGACCCTCAGGTAAGATGAAATGGTGGCTTTGCAGTCAGGCTTTAGCTCCGAAAGTAGGAGAACTTTCCTCCTTGCCAGCAGTTTAGCAGGGTACGTGCTGGTGACTGCTGGCTGGTGTCAGTGAGAACCTGGGTGCTCCCTCTACGATTCCACCCCAAATTGTCTCGAACCTTTTTCCCACGGCTGGGGGTTGTGCTCAGAGAGGTGACCTGGGCTCTCAGCGCCTGCCCCGCGGCTGGGGTGTGGGTGGCTGTGTCGGGCAGGCGTGGGGGTGCTGCTGGGGGGAAATGGGCAGCCCTGCTGCTGTGTCCCCAGCTGTGGTTTGAGCCAGCTGTGAATGCTTTCAGAAAGCAATCCTCAATTAAGCAGTAGGCATCTTTCGTACATCTCCATTTGGAGAAAGTTTTATGGATCTGTGTGCCCAGGATCACTCCTGGAAGGATCTGTCCAGGACCAAGCAGGGCTGAAAACAGAGCTGAACCTCCTGCTAATCTGTCCAACAGACCAGTGCTAAATTGCAGAGCAAAGGAGCACAGCCATGGGGTCATACCTTCCTGCAGAACATCTCCTGCCAAGTATTGCAGCCTGAGAAGGGCCAAGGGGCAGCCAGTAGCCATCATCATCATCTTCATCTGCCGCCTGGCAGGGCAGAGCTGCCTGCAAGTCCACATGAAAGGGATTTGCTTTTTTGAACTGCATTGCTCTCTCACTGGCATGCC